ACTTTGAAAGACAATGTAGAGGAAATCATCAAATAACATGCAAACAAAGATACTTGAAAACACATTTGGCCACATTTATGCCTGTAATCCCAGCACTTTGGAAGGCCAAAGTCGGAGGATCGCTTGAGGTCAGGAATTTGAGACCAGCCTGGGCAATATAGCAAGACTCTGTCTATACAACAAAATATGCAGAAAAAATAGCTGAGGATGGTGGTAGTCCTGTAGTCCTAGCTACTTGGGAGGCCAACGCAGGGGTCACGTGAGCCCAGGAGTTCGAAGCTACAGTGAGCTATGATCACACCACAGCATTCCAGCCTGTGCAACAGAGTAAGACTCTGTGTCAATAAACAAACAACTCAAAACAAACCAAAACCCCACAAACTGTAAGAGGGAAAGATGAATACATATGATCACATTATAGTTAAAATTTTCTGAATGTCAAAAGACATTGAAACAAAATAAAGAGACAAGCCATGGAGTGGGAAGTGATAGGTGCGGTTTCTTTGACAGACAAATGATAGGTGTATAGAATATATAAAGAATATCAACAAGTTTAAGAGCAAAGATAACTTGGTAGGAAAAAAATGAAAAAGGTGATGAGTAGGTAAGTTACAGAAGAGGAAATGAAGTGGTCGACAAACACACAGAGTCTTGCAACTTCACAGAATATGCAAATTAAGTAAAATAAACAAGATATAATTTCCCATTCATTAGATTGGCTTAGAACTTTCAAGTCTGACATTGTGGGGAAATTAGAGTGCCTTTTTTTGTGGCTATCAGATGAATTTTTTTTTTATTATTGTTTGGGATTCATTGAGGGTACAAAGAATTAGGTTACACTGATTACATTTGTAAGATAAAGTCCCTCTTATAATTATGCCCCACCCCAAATTAGAACTCTTAAATGTTGCTAGTAGTTAAATGATTATAGCCACTCTGGAGAGTACTTTATCAAAGTCCAGCAAAGGTATGTAATATGCATACTCTAGAATGATATACATTCCATGTGGGCACGGGAGACACAAACAAGACGTTCATTGCTGTATTATTTATAACAACAAAATATTGCTGTATCTTTAAATAAAATGGCTACCTGAACTGTGGTATAGTCTTAAGGGAAGCCTTAAAGAAAGTGGGATCTAGTTCTGGTTCTTTTTCTGCTTCTAACAGATGATGGAACTTGTGTGAAGTGACTTTTCTTTCTGGATGGAATGCTCTCTCCAAGTGAAACTCTGTCCTCTGTTTCAAAAAAAAAAAAAAAAGCTGGGCAGTGCCTGTGGCTCAAAGGAGTAGGGCGCTGGCCCCATATACCGGAGGTGGTGGGTTCAAACTCCGCCTGGCCAAAGACTGCAAAAAAAAAAAAGCCTCACCAAGATACTCTTGGTCTCATTCTCTCTCAGGTCACATGCTCAGGTGTGCACACTCCCCTGCTCAGAGAGACTTCCCTGACCCTGCTAACCAGACAACCAGGATCCCCTCCCCCACACTGCTTTGTCAAGCAGAGTAGTCTCTGTCCAGATGGGGTTCAAATCTAGCTTTACCAAATGCTTCTTGTATGACCTTGGGCAAATTATTTAAGCTTCCTGTGACTCAGTTTCCTCCTCTGTAAAGTGAGGACAATACTAGTCTTACCTGGGAGGACTGAATGAGATAATATGCCAAAGAGGGAGAATGGTGCCTGATATACAGGAAGCGCTAGTTCATGATAAATTGCACGGCAGCTTAAGTGAATGAGCAAGACTGGGTGATATGGCTAAGTCTCATAAACATGCCTCTGTGTGGACGGAGCAAGTCCCCCACCCATCTCACCCTTCCCTGAACTTGTGCCACCGTTACTGCCAGCCCACAGTCTAGTCCTGGATTATACCCCCCAGTTAGGAGTCCTTTCTACAGGTGTTAGTTCCCTTTCTCTGCTGTCTGTGACCACCACAGCCTGGCCAAGTAGGTTTTTAGTGAGCGAATCGAATTAATTGTAAAAGTCTTTAAATGCCAGAGGGTGAAGACATCAGTGAGTTGCTCAGAATGTGTATTTTACGAAGTTGGTTCAAAGCTAGGAGGAGAGTGAGGGTGATGGGGCAGATGAGCAAGGCAGGCACCTGGAAAGGGAGAGAGAATCCCTGAGCCAGGTACCCCCAGGGCAGGAGCTCTGCAACTCCAGGGCAGAGAGTGGGGGCTCTGCTTTCTGAAGAGTCCCAGAGTCTGTCAGGTGATGAGGCATTAACTGCTACATTCACAGAGGACTCTGCCTTTAAAAAGCTCTGGTCTGGGAGGATCGTTGTGGAGCCCTTAGCACTGGCTACATACAGGAGGGAGAGCAGGACTGGAGACAGTGGGGAGCGGAGGCTTTTGTTCCACTCCATATACTGTTACTCTACATACGCACTTCCACACTGTTTGATTTTGTCCAGTGAGAAAGAATTTGTTTTTTATTAATGTATTTCACAAGTAAAATTATTAAAAAGAAAAAAGGCAGTGGCTCATGCCTGTAATCCCAGCACTTTGGGAGGCTGAGGTTAGAGGATTGCTTGCTTGAGCTCTGGAGTTCAACACCAGCTTGAGCAAAAGCAAGACCCCGTCTCTACTAAAAATAGATAAATTAGTGGATGTCATGGTGGGTGCCTATAGTCCTAGCTACTTGGGAGGCAGGAAGATCATCTTAACCCAGGAGTTTGGGGTTGCTGTGAGCAAGGGTGAGCCATGGTACTCTGGCCTGGGCAATAGAGTGAGACTCTGTCTCAGAAGAAAAAGAAAAGAAAAGGAAAAGAAAGGAAAGAAAAAAAAGAAAAGAAAAGAAAATTACCTTGCACATAAGAGATACTGAGTGATGGCTTGGCGCTTGTGGCTCAAGCGGCTAAGGCGCCAGCCACATACACCTAAGGTGGCAGGTTCGAATCCCCAGCCCGGGCCCGCCAAACAACAATGATGGTTGCAACCAAAAAATGGCCAGGCGTTGTGGCGGGCGCCTGTAGTCCCAGCTACTTGGGAGGCTGAGGCAGGAGACTCGCTTGAGCCCAGGAGTTGGAGGTTGCTGTGAGCATGATGCCATGGCACTCTACCCAGGGGGATAGCTTGAGGCTCCGTCTCAAAAAAAAAAAAAAGAGATACTGAGTGAACAGATATTACTATTATTCTTTAAAACAGACCCCCTCCCCCAGCGTAGGGGTCCCCAGGCAGGAAGGCACCCTCCTTGTTCCAGGATAAGGCTGCAGCCACTTCCTCACACCACCGTGTAGCTGGCAAGAGAGCGAGTCTCATTGGCTCTACCTCCGAGCACATCCTGAATCCAACCCTTTCCCTCACCTAGTTCTTACCTGCCCTGTCCAACACACTCTGTTCAGAGTCAGGGATCCTGAAAACACAAATCAGATCTTTGACACATTCTGAGCACTTGCATGTGCCAAGTCCTATTCAGAGTAGGTCATTCGAGTTAGCTCAGTCAGTCCCTTAATACGGCTCCATTAGGATCTCCTGTTTGCAGATGGAGAAACTGATGTGCAGGAAGTCAAATAACCTGCCTCCAGGCCACACTGCGAAACAGCAGAGCTGGAAGCAACATGAGGGGCACATGCTCTCTGCTCCCTCCCTCCATTCCAGCGGCCTGTGCCCCCCATACACCCTCTGTCCTCTGCTCCACCACTCTCAGTATTTTCAGGAGGCCTGTTCTCTCACTTCATTAAGCTTGATTGTCACCTGCTCAGAAAGGCTTCCTTTACCATCCTTCTAAAATAGTCCCCACTTTGTTCCCTGACCCTTTCTTGCTGTAATGTTATTCATAGATCTTACCACTTCTTTTTTTTTTTTTTTTTTTTGCAGTTTTTGTCCAGGGCTGGGTTTGAACCCACCACCTTTGGCTTATGGGGCCAGCACCCTACTCACTGAGCCACAAATGCTGCCCATCTTACCACTTCTTGACATTACATTAGAAGTTTCCTTATTCCAATGTTTACTATCTTTTTTCTCTAGAATTTCTGCTCCACAGGGCAGGCACTTTGTCCTCAGTATTTGGAACAGAGCCTGGCACAGAACAAGACCTCAGTAAGTGAATAAATGCACCTCCTGACTTGGCACCCGTAGCTCAGTGACTAGGGCACCAGCCACATACACTGAGGCTCGCAGGTTGGCAAGTTCGAGCCTGACCCGGGCCTGCTGAACAACAATGACAACTGCAATAAAAAAAATAACTAGGTGTTGGGTGAGCACCTGTAGTCCCAACTACTTGGGAGGCTGAGGCAAGAGAATCACTGAAACCCAAGAGTTTGAGGTTGCTGTGAGCACACAGCACTCAACTGAGGGGGACATAATGAAACTTTGTCTCAATAAATAAATAAATAAACAAATGAATGCACCTCCACCCACCGCCTGTTGCTCCCTGGCCCAGGACAGTGCTTTTTCCTCTGGGTTCACAGCGAGTCCCCATCCTCCTCTCTGGGGACTCTGGACCAGCAGGGCAGAAGGTGAAGGTACACCTTCCATATTCTCTCCCCGCCTTCCTTCCCAGTTTCTCCTCCTGGGGGGACCCCTTCCTGCCTACTACTCCAGCCTCAGGGCTTTCATCTTTCCAGCCACCTGGAAGCTGGCTAACAAATCCAGGAGATGGGGATTTAAAGTGTCACGTCTCTCTAGGGTATTAGCCTTTTAAAAGAGCCCAGACCTGAGCAACTGCTATCCCCATTATATGACTATGCTGTGATGTGACTTCTGACACAGGATGTTTGGGGGAGATACTGCCCTTCCCTCTGGCAGGCCTTGGGAGATGGTGCATCTCACAGGAAAGGAAACTGAGGGAGAGGGATTCATGGGTCTGAGTTCACTGTGTGGGTCAGTGACTGGGACTAGGCAGACCCCAGCCTCCAGATGCCACTGTCCCCCTCTGCTTCTCTTCCTTTCCTGCCATCCATGCCTGGCTTTGTTCCCCAAAGTACCCCTAAGCCTCCTCCCTCAGGCTCTGCTTTGTGGAATCCTTCCAGAGTCTCCCCAGAAAAACAGAGCAAAGGCCTTACCCATTTCAATCCCACAGATGACCAAGGCTGCAATCACGGCACCTGCTGATGTCCCAGCGAAACGATGGGCCGTTTCCAGCATCCGGGGGGCCAGGTCCCGCAGGGCATCCACAGCCCCAGCCTGGTAGAAGGAGAGGAATCCACTGCCTGAGAAGGAGACGGAATGCGGGGTGTCGGGATCTCCCTTGAACACCTGTTCTTCCATCTCTCAGCCTCAGACCGTCCTTGGGAAGGAGGAACCACCATTCAGCACTTGCCCGGCTGGGCTTGAGCTGCTGCTGCCTGTCAGAACTCGCTGCCCAGCTTCCCTGCCAGCCAGAGCTTGGAATGGAGCAGCGTCTCTGCCCCGTCTGCTGGGGCAGAACAGGTGGTTCAGGCAGCCTCCTGGGCCAGCTCAGCTCCACCAGGAGGCAGCCCTGGAGGTCAGTAAGGGGCCCTGGGGCCCAGGACGAGATACACGAGGCCCCTCGGGTGTGAGATCAGGGTCCTGGTCCTGAGGGGCCCCCTCTGGCTTCATTGCTTGGCCAGATTCATCTCAGGCACAGGCTCTTCAGTCCTTTGCCCATCCTTGGTATACCTAGGCACATTCATGGCTACAGGAAGACCTGCCCAAGGAGGCGGGCACCACCCAACCCTCAGCCTCACACATCCAGTTGCAAAACCTCCCTGATGGTTATCAGTGGCAGCCACCCTCCTTGACAGCTATAGTAGTAAAGGACTCACAAGCCACCTCCTCCAGGAAGACAGAGCCCCCTCCCCCCAGAGTGCAATTCTGGTTTCCCAAAGAGATGTAGACCATCCACAGTCCCCTCTCTGCAGTGCCCCTCCCTGGGTCCTCCAGGCTGTGTGGCATAGGTGGCAATTATTTTTATTTGCTCTTCTTACATAAGTACCTCTTTGTTTATTCGCTTGTTTGTTTATTGACAGGTTAGGATTGCCCATGGGCAAAATTGTCAAGGGAGTTTGGCTTCAGGGGCACCTCCCACCACTGCCTGTCCACCTTTCCCTGTCTCTGCTCCAGGGCCCTGCACTGACCCTTTGACCTGTGATCAGTGCCCCTCACCAAGCCCCATGCCCTCATGCTGTCTCCCAAGTGTCTGGAAAGAAGTCAACCCAAAATCTAGGTCATTCTAAGTGCTTGGAATTTCATATTGTACACACTCTTCTTCCTGCTTTGAAATGAGAAGTTCAACATGGTGGTATTTAACCCCAAGATGAACAGCTTGGGAGGTCGCAGGTCAGGGCATCAGGGTCAGTGCAGAGAGATGTCTTAGTAAGAGGGGTGGTACGAGGGGACCAGGGCTGGCTCAGGGGTCATTGTAACGTCCCCCATGGCTGCATAAACCAAAGTGTCACCACATGGGAATATTGCAAAGGCCAGTGTGGCAAGATCACATTTCCCCACTCCTCCACAGAGACCACAGTGACAGGACCTGGATTAGGATCAAGACACCAAGGCCCTGACTAATGCCCCATCCAGCTTTAGCCTCACTATCAAGATGTGACAGCTATGGCTCCCTGACCCTGGGGAGCTCTCAGCAACTCTGGTGGCCTCAGTGATCCACCTCGGAATTCCAGTAAGGACAATGCCCAGGAGACAGCTTTCAGTCTCAGGTAGGTAATTTCAGGCATACAACTGCTTCAGTTTGGGAAGAGAGCTTTTGATGAGATGTAAGTAAAACAGAGAAAATGTGTGTGCCTGTGTGTATGTACAGGCATGTGTGCATATGTATGTAACATGTGTGTATGTGCACGTGTGCACTGAGTACATGTATGTGCGTGTATACACATGGGTGGGGTGTATGCATGTATGTGTAAATGTGGGGGGGGGGTGTGTGCCCACACAGAGGTCTGAGGTGTCCATGAGTGTGGAGGGAGGAGATGTGTTAGTGTGGAGTCCGGTCATGTTGGAACAGCAGAGACCCAGTCCCCTTCCATGAAGTACCGTGTGCCTGGCCCTGTGTCAGGGGCCTGAGGACAGGAGGAAGTAGAGGCTCCATCCCCTAATTTAGACACTTCCTGGGAACAAGACAGGCAAATGTGAAATAACCAGAGAACTGTACAAGGCAATCTATAATTAAGCACTAAATTGTGCAAGGCTAAGACTCCTGCCAGAAAAGTTAGGAGGCGAAGGGGAGCAGTGTGGGCTGGAGCCATCTGAAGGATGCAGTGGAGCTGTGGGACTTGAGGAAGCGGGGTGGGGAGGGAAGGGAGCGAGGGCATGGGGCAGGGAACCAGTAGGAGCTCCTTACAGGGGAAAAAGGGGTGTGATGGGGTCAGATTCGTAGGATAAAGGCTTTGAATCAAACAGTCATGAAGTTGAATCCCAGCTCTGCCACTTATAGGCAGGGTCACCTGTGTGATCTCTCCAGGTTCTGGTTTTCCTCGTCTGTAAAGAGAACAATACTTCAATTCCTATGCTGCACAGCAGTGGGAAAGGCTAAAGGTGACGGCTGCAAAACACCTGGCACATGGCACATCGATCATTATCCAGGGTGGTAAGAGTCAAGGCTTCTGAACAGATGGGCCCCAGAGACAAGATGGAATGAATGGAAGGGGGTTGGGGCGTCTCAGAAGAGGAAGGGTGGATCTCAGAGCGACAGCAGGGAAGTTCGGTGGACTCAGGCAGGAGAGCTGCAGGCTGGAGGACAAGGAAGGAGGGATGATGGGGGCTGGGCAGGCTGACAGCTGGGGGAAGACAAGTTAATGAAATTTTTGCCACAGAAGGTCTCAGGACCAAGGACTGGTTGGATGGGCAAGCTGAGTCACCCCTGCTGCCACGATTTTAGCCTGGGGATAGGGAGGAGTGGGGCTGCCTTTGGCAAAGTTGGGAAAACTGGGGCAGGCCTTGGGACACTGGGTGGGGGGTGATTTTATGTTAAGACACATCTGAGATGGCAGCAAGACACTGGTGCTATCTGTGAGGGGCAGGAGGGCCAGAGAGGGATGCAGAGACAACTGCCATTGAGGCAGCAGACAGGGGAAGGCAGAGGAGGTAGACGCAGGTTCATGTGGAAGAGAAGTTAACTATGGACAAATTTCTCCCCCACGCCTCTCTGTGCTGTCTGTGAAACAGGGGACAAGGCCTCCTGCTGCTCACGGGCTGGGCTGCAGGGGCAGGAGGCGGGCTGCCACCCCTTCAGAGTCAGCGCCTCCTCCCCACACAGCTCCTGGCACCCTACCCCTCAGGCCCAGCTGTCTTCTGTGAATGTCCTTATCCTGAGGTTCCCTGGGGACGTGCAGACAGCCAGTATGCAAACAAGCCAACTAGAGGATTGGGCGTGAGGACCCAGAGGAGCCATTCACCTGGACCCCAAGTGCTGACCCTGGCAGAGCCGTCTCCACAGCTGATGGGCACTGACAAGTCTCAGCCTGTCCTCAAGGTTAAACCAGAGAGAAGGCGCATCTCATTTCCCTTTGTTCCTGACATTCAACTTAAAGCCCTGAGAACCTTGAGAGAATGACCTCGAAGGAAGAATCACTTTTTCACATTTCTGCATTTGATTTTACAAGTCAGCTCATAATCTTTTCAGGTGTTTTTCTAAGTTAACAGGTTTGTTGGCTCGTCAGTCCCTGAGGAAATCACATGCAAGAAGCAGATGGCTTATCACACACAGATGCAACATGACAACTCGAAATGGGTTGATAAGGGAACCTGGACTTCCCGTGAGTGTAAGATACATGAAGGGCAATTGGGGGAAGAAAGACACATACAGGTTCTGGCTTGCTCTTCATCAACAGTGTACCGCCTGCTGCTTACGTCTTGAAAATTTAACTTAGTGAAAAACTGGTTGTTTCTTGATGAGCTAGGATATGAAGTTCACAAACCCACCTATAAATATTCTTGCCAAAAATATTTAACCTGAATCTGAGTTGAGGCCTAACTTCCAGTTTTAGTAAAATGCAGAGAATGAGGGAACAAGTTAAATGATTCCGGGGGAAAATGGTCAAGCAAATTGGGTCCCAGGCGGTTGGGCAGAGACCATTGTTGGCTACTGGCAGACATTCCCAGCCCACTTACTTGTTCCTTGCAAGCTCCCTAAAAGCAGCTGAAAAGGCCGGATAAGTACTTGACTTCCCAGCCTTCCTTGCAGCTAATGGTGATCACAAGACTCCCTTTTAGACAATGAGAAGGAGAAATCTGCTGGGGTATTCTAAGAAAGATGTTCCTCCTTGATAAAAGTTGAGATTTTCTTCCTGCCTGAGATACTGCCCTGAGTTTGGTCTTATGGTAGCCATCTTACCCCGTCATGGAAAACATAGCAGACGCATTGAGTGTATTAGTTATGTACTGCTGTGTAACACATAACCCCCAAATTCAGCACTTTCAAAGAACAAACATACATCTCACACACTTTCTGAGGGCCAGGAACCTGAAAATGACTTAGCTGGGTGGTTCTGGCTTCTCTCATGAGACTACATTCAAGCTGACAGCCAGGGTTGCCGTCCTCTTAGGGCTCATTGGAGCTGAAGGACTCACTTGCAAGCTCACTGTCAGGGTTGTTGGCAGGCGTCTGTTCTTAGCTGGCTATTGGTAGAGACCTCGGTGCCTCACCACGTGGGCCTTTCCACTGGGCTGCTGGTGAGTTGACAGCTTGCTTCCCCCAGAGTGACGGAGGTAAGAGGACATATTTAGCATTCTACTGATGAACGTTTGGTTGTTTCCAGTGTTTTCCGTAACTCACAATGCTGCAGTGAGCGCTTCTGTATACATCTCCCTTTGCATTGTTCAGGAATTTCTCGGGTCACAGTGTGGGTGTATCAGCCGTACCCAAAGGATTTCCATTTATGGAGGTGACTGAGTTGTGACACGGAGAGGCTAATTAGCCACTAAAAGAAAAATTGTGTTACAGGTACTTACATTTCTTGCCAGGCAGGGCCACATAGGGAAACATCAAATTCGTTCAGGTGGGAGAAGGGGTGAGGGAAGAGCAGGGCCCACAGCCTTTGTTGCGAGAGGCAGGGAAGCAGCTGTTTAGGTAATATGGGCAGGTTCGAGGTGACTGGTGCCTGGCTCTGGGCGATTAGGGCAGAGGACTATTGCCTCCTGGAATGTAAGAGTCAGATAGAGTAGGTGGTTCAGAGTAGGGCTCAAGGCTGGTTCATTTGCTTATAAGAGACACGCTCTCCAGGGAGCCTTTCCTGTCTCTAAGAATTGGCTGGCCCTGGGAGGGGCGGTCTCTCTCTCTCACACACAGTGAGGCC